ACAACATGTTCTGAAAAAGCTCATGAAAAATATACAAGCGAACAGAGAATGGAGGGTTTCAGTCGGTTTAAAATATTCTGGTTCAACCATGTTCTTTTTATTGAGAAAAGCTGCTAAATTCCATGTGACTCTGGGATAACTAAATATCTAGTGGTTTTTCCATTACAAAAGTGGAAGGCTGCTCTCTTGATGCTTTTGCACTCAACTGAGATGGTTGAACCAGCATCTCATCATGGATTACATTTGGTATTTTTTTGAATACCAATTTGAGGTGGGAAAATGATCTCATGTGAACTATTTGTTCAGTCCCTGCTAAACTGTTTTTTTGCAATGCAGTCCCTTGAAAGATTGAGCCTTGTTTCCAAGGTTTAAAAGTCAAAACTTTTTTGCATTGTTTGTAGACCCAAAGGATTATTGGATTCCCCTGCAGCAGTTCTGCTGGAATTCTATTTTGTTCTGTGCTTGTCTTGTACTTTGATTTGGTGGCGTGTAAGAAAAACTATGATTCAATTTCTGCTTCTCCTTTTTATTAAATTTCTGCCTCTCCTTTTTCCATACATAAAACCAGAACTTTTTTATTGGGATGGTATTGGATGATTTTCAACAACTGATTTAGACACAACCAAGCACTTGAGATTTCTGTAAAAAACTCTCCTGGTTTATAGTTGCCTTGTTCTTGGGATTCAAGATTTCCTTTAAAAAATTGATTGTTTTGGCGATTGCATCATCTCATTTTGTTTGGCACGTTTACCCTCTCTCGCTGTGAAATTTAGAGTTGGTAAAAGGGTAGCCTGAGTTTTCTGCGTCTTGTATTTGAAAAGTGATCTGTTGTTTTTTTAAAGTACAAGGTTTTTTTTGTGACTGGAAAACTCATCGCCCTTGCAGTACTTTCAAATTTTCTGTGAATTCTGTACGTGAATGCATCTCTTCTTTTAGAGTTGAAAGAAACTTGAATTCCGGACAGCATGTTCTGAAAAAGCTCATGAAAAATAGACGAGCCAAAATAGAATGGAGGGTTTCAGTCGGTTTAAAATATTCTGGTTCAGCCCTATTCTTTTTATTGAGAAAAACTTCTAAATTCTTTGTGAATGTGGGATAACTAAACATCTAGTGGTTTTTCCTTTTCAATAGTGGAAGTTTGCTCTCTTGATGCTTTTGCACTCAACTGAGATGGTTGAACCAGTGTCTCATCATTGGATTAGATTTGGTATTTCTTGAATACCAATTTGAGGTGGGAAAATGATCACAGGTGAACTATTTGTTCAGTCCCTGCTAAACTGTTTTTTTTGCGCAATGCAGTCCCTTGAAAGATTGAGCCTTGTTTCGATGTTTGAAAAGTCAAAACCTTTTTGCATTGTTTGTAGACTCAGTGGATTATTGGATGCCCCTGCAGCAGTTCTGCTGGAATTCTATTTTGGTCAGTGGTTGTCTTGGGCTTTGATTTGGTTGGGCGTGGGAAAATTTATGATTCAATTTCTGCATCTCCTTTTTATTCAATTTCTGCCTCTCTTTTTTCCATACATAAAACCAGAACTGTTTTATTGGGATGGTACTGGATGATTTTCAACAACTGATTTAGACGCACGCAAGCACTTGAGATTTCTGTAAAAACACTCTCCTGCTTTATAGTTGCCTCGTCCCTTGGATTCGAGATTTCCTTGAAAAAATTGATTGTTTTGATGATTGCATCATCTCATTTTGTTTGGCACGTTTACCCTCTCTCGCTGTGAAATTTAGAGTTGGTAAAAGGGTAACACGAGTTTTCTGCTGCTTGTATTTGAAAAGTGATCTGTTGTTTTTTTAAAGTACAAGGTTTTTTTTGTGATTGGAAAACTCATCGCCCTTGCAGTACTTTCAACTTTTCTGTGAATTCTGTCCGTGAAAGCATCTCTTCTTTTAGAGTTGAAAGAAACTTGAATTCGGGACAACATGTTCTGAAAAAGCTCTTGAAAAATAGGCGAGCCAACAGAGAATGGAGGGTTTCAGTTGGTTTAAAATATTCTGGTTCAGCCCTGTTCTTTTTATTGGGAAAAGCTTCTAAATTCTATGTGAATGTGGGATAGCTAAACATCTAGTTGTTTTTCCTTTCCAAAAGCAGAAGGCTGCTGTCTTGATGCTTTTGCACTCAACTGAGATGGTTGAACCAGTGTCTCATCATTGGATTAGATTTGGTATTTCTTGAATACCAATTTGAGGTGGGAAAATGATCACAGGTGAACTATTTGTTCAGTCCCTGCTAAACTGTTTTAGCTCAATGCAGTCCCTTGAAAGGATGAGCCTTGTTTCGATGTTTGAAAAGTCAAAACCTTTTTGCATTGTTTGTAGACCCAGAGGATTATTGGATGCCCCTGCAGCAGTTATGCTGGAATTCTATTTTTGTGTGTGGTTGTCTTGGACTTTGATTTGGTTGGGCGTGAGAAAATTTATGATTCAATTTCTGCATCTCCTTTTTATTCAATTTCTGCCTCTCCTTTTCCCATACATAAAACCAGAACTGTTTTATTGGGATGGTATTGCATGATTTTCAACGACGATTTAGACGCAAGCATGCACTTGAGATTTCTGTAACAAAACTCTCCTGATTTAAAGTTGCCTTGTCCCTGGGATTCGAGATTTCCTTGAAAAAATTGATTGTTATGACAATTGCGTCATGTCATTTTGTTTGGCACCTGTACCCTCTCTCACTCTGAAATTTACAGTTGGTAAAGGGGTAGCATGAGTTTTTTGCGTCTTGTATTTGAAAAGTGATCTGTTGTTTTTTCAAAGGAAAGAGGTTTTTTTGTGACTGGAAAACTCATCGCCAATGCAGTACTTTCAACTTTTCATTGAATTTTGTGCCTGAAAGCATCTCTTGTTCTTGAATTGAAAGAAACATGAATTCAGGACAACATGTTCTGAAAAAGCTCATGAAAAATAGATGTGCGAACAGAGAATGGAGGGTTTCAGTCGGTTGAAAATATTCTGGTTCAACCCTGTTCTTTTTATTGAGAAAAGCTGCTAAATTCTATGTGAATGTGGGATAACTAAACATCCAGTGGTTTTTCCTTTTCAAAAGTAGAAGGCTGCTCTCTTGATGCTTTTGCACTCAACTGAGATGGTTGAACTGGTTTCTCATCATGGATTGCATTTGGTATTTTTTGAATAGCAATCTGAGCTTGGAAAATGATCTCACGTGAACTATTTGTTCAGTCCCTGCTAAATTGTTTTTGTGCAATGCAGTCCCTTGAAAGATTGAGCCTTGTTTCGATGGTTGAAAAGTCAACTTTTTTCATTGTTTGTAGACCCAGAGGATTATTGGATGCCCCTGCAGCAGTT